CCTCCCCCCCATAATATTTCGATTCAATGCTCTTACTTTTGATGTTTTTAGGTCTGGACAGAACAGATTAACAAACGAGGAGCTGTCAACTTTATAACCGGTGCGGGTGGATTCCTACAGGCTGTCATATACGGCTACGGTGGTTTCCGTCTCAGAGAAAATCGATTAGACTTCTACCCGACTCTCCCGCGCGGCTGTACGAAGCTAACAATACGAGGTGTCCATTACATGGGTAACAAACTAGAGTTTACCATCAAGAAAAAGATGTTTGGAGTACGTTTAATAAGCAAGGGACCCATTTCTCCACGCCTCGAGGTGGTCATGATTTATAAACGAAAGAATAGATATACGTTAAGGTTAGGAGAAATGCTGTACTTGCATAGAGGTCGTGGATTTTTACGAATACCAAGACACGATAGGTAGAAGTACATTATTCATTTAGTTATACTGGGGTCTCTGTGACGGGAGAGCCGAGGGGGAAACAGTATGAGTTCCAATTTGTATTGTAAAATAAAATGATTGTTCAATAAACTTTTCACTGTATTGCAGATGCTCTTTGTAAAATGAATTTTTATCCTTGTGGAATAAATAGGCTTTCCACAGTTTACGTGCCCTGTTTGAACATTTAAACTGAGATGTAGCTCTAAAAACACTTTAAAACTTTGCAGGTTCAACCTGAATTACAAGGATGTTTATTTATTTAGAACACAGTAAATTAAATTAAATTATTTACGAGGCTTATGCATAGCGCTGTCTCAAGAAACTATAAATAAATGTCATAAAGATTGCAAACTTCTGGGCCCAGTTGTACGAAGGATGGATAGCGCTATCCGGCGGATAATTCTTGTCCAGTGGATAAATGTATTGGATAATAGCATCGACTTATCCACTGGATAAGGGTTTGTCCGTTGGATGGCGCTTTCCAACCTTCGCGATACAACCGAGCCCTGGCGAATAAATTTGCACCTTCTTCACTTTAAAATGCCAAATTTTTCAAAGGAGTTATCTTAATGTTATTAACCCGCTCTTACCTTTATTGTGGTTCTGTCCAGCTACGAATAGAGGTTTACTCGCCATGTTGAAGCCAGTAAAGTCTTCGTCCAGTTGCCACTACCATTGTTCATAACTTTATCAAAAAGTTCCCTCTTTTTTCCGTCGATGCTGACTCTGTTGCCCTTCTTTTTCTTCTCTTTTCGTCCAGTATAACCTGGTTTTAGCAGAGTAAAGTAGTTAGTAGTGTCTTTAAGCCGTTCAGTACAAGTTTGCATTCCCTTGGTGATCAGCTGATTTTATATCAATATGCTAATATAGTGCCAAGAGGACAAAAACCACAGGTAACCCAGGGGCCTCTCGAACTTGGCGGGTCATATCCGGATTCAACATGTCACGTACCCCTCCCTACTCGATTTAACTTCTCACGCTGATCACAAGCCTGCCAGAACTTGAAATGCGCGCTATGGTTAACCGGATCTTATTACAAACACTGCTTGTCTTGTTGCTTCCTTGGATTCAAGTTCTCAAGACGAACACAAAAGAACCTCAGAAACCTGAGCCAACAGCAGGAAAAAACGTGACCCTGCATAATATAGATTATATCTTTGGCAGCCTTCGCCGTTATTTAATAGCGCGTATAGCGGCTGCGTATGAGAGTACCGTTATTCTGGCGACGATACTAAGCTCTTGTCTTGTTCTACATCAGATGCGCTGGGTTTAGTACAGGAAAATCCAAGTAATTGCCATCTTTAGTCATGGCGTTTCTTGGTCTAGCGATATGCGTTACGGTACAGTTTTTCTTCTTGTCGACGACGGCTATGAGACCATCACCAAAGAAATCCACAGAGACTTTATTGTACACAAAGAAAATGCCTTCTGAGGATTTCAGCACCGTGTCGATCACCGGGAACCGAGCTGGAAACATGATGCCGACAATCGGGAATGGTTATATTGCGAGTGTTTTATACAGCGATACTGTTCACGTCTCGGGCCTTTATAATGGCAAGGCGTACTCCAAATTCTACCCGATTTATCCCATCAACATCACCCAGCACACGCATAGGGCACGTCTTCCATCTACATGTTCGCTCTCCTTCGAGGTATTTGGAATCCAAGGTGATTCCTCCTACGCTCTTGATATCAAAAAGGGGATATTCTATAAGTGGTTTGATGCTGTGGTGAATATTAACGAAACGCTAACGATCGAGCAGAGATTCTACGCGCATCGCCAACTGAGACATTTAATTGTCGTCGAAATATCAATCAAAAATGACTTGAGCCAGAACGTCACCCTCAATATTTCAAATAATTTTGGCGAGTATACGAATGATATAGGACTGAAGCAATACACCGTGGATAAAGAACTAGCAATGGAGATGGCTTATGGAGAGGTAAGGTATAACAATGTTGGATTGTTTTGTTGAAATACAATATCAGAGCAATCCAAGGTCAAGAGGAAACCGTATACCGATGTTGAAAAATCGATTGCGCAGTCTCACTTTATTCAGCGCGTACGCATGCGTTGTTACAGCATGCTCTCCCTTCAGATTTGCACACACATGATTTACTGACTCTATTTGAATTGACATATGAGCGTTCTTTTCCATAGTCAGTGTATCATACGATTTACTGACTCTATTTTAAATTGACTTGAGCGTTCTTTTCCATAGTCAGTGTATCATACGATTTACTGACTCTATTTGAATTGACATATGAGCGTTCTTTTCCATAGTCAGTGTATCATACGATTTACTGACTCTATTTTAATTGACTTGAGCGTTTTTTTCATAGTCACTGTATCATTAAAAATCATTAAAGATTTTTTTATTAATTATCATTAATGATCATTAATAATCGTTGTATCATTTTTTTGAGCGGAGTTTGTACAACAGTAAGAAACTAAATTTGACGTGTCTTGTCATATTAATATTTACTGCAGCCTCACCCCAGCATTCTGATTGGATGTCCAGAATCTCGAGTACCGCGACCGTGTCGCTTTTTTCTCTCTCATGGACATCTGCATGGCAGCATTCTCGTGTCCAGTTTTTCTCCTAACTTTCTTCCTGGCGTCTGGCGCAAGGCGCATGCGCCTATATTTCAACCGCTGTCTGAAATTCACCTATGTTTATCAATGTCCCTCCCTAGATCAAGACCGTAGAAGAGGTAGACAGTCTAAAATCCAAGGTGGCTCTTGCATTTCAAGATATTCCTGACCACATCGTTATAGAAGCACATGACTGGAAGACTTGGTATTATGTTACAGCAATCGCAACAAGTATTGATACCAAGTTTGATCCATGGCGTCAAGCTGAAAATGCTTGGAGATTAGGGGAAAAGTAAGAAGATGCTTCCAAGTTGCTGTAATTGTCAAGCCAATAGACGTTTGCATGATGGCGTCATTTGACTCCCACTACAATAATGCGAATTTTTCTTTCTTATTCAAATTTGTATATTCCCTTATGAGAAAAGTAAGACAACTGGTGCTAATTGACTGAAAAAAGAAAGTTTGCAAGGGAGTCTGGTAGTAGAGGTCAATACGTGCGAACGTATATAGACACTTCTTAATATTTCAGACCATGTGTTATTCCCTTGAGTATTACTACTTCCAAAAGTAAAGGAGTTGATTTAATTCAAAAGAAAATTGTTTTATGTTTTTCATGAGACGTTTAATCATGGTGGATTTGACTCCTTATGATAACAAAGGTAGCCCAAAGGACCAATAATTGTCTCATTGCTCATGACCAATAACCTTTACTCTTGTCCTACAGGCGTGCACGGTTTCTGCAGTGGCATCATACAAAAGCCTGGGAAGAACTATGGAACTCCGGCAGTATCGATATCGACGGCAACCTTGAGTTATCCCAGGCTGTCTATGCAAGTATGTACCAGATACTGAGCTCTACCCGGGCTGACTGGCCGTACGGCTTAAGTCCGGGGGGACTGTCCGGTGGTGAAGAATACATGGGACATACCTTTTGGGACCAGGATATTTGGATGTTTCCATTCTTGTTGCTCTTGTATCCAGATCTCGCCAGAGCATCGCTACAATATCGATACGATCGACTGCCTGCTGCTAGACGAATAGCCAGATTGAATAAATATAGAGGTACGTAGAATGACGGTATCAAGATGTGCTAATATTGATATGGTGAGAATGGAGCTTTCTGTTAGATAGGTGTAAGGGTCTACGAAGTAACCTATATAATCTCAAGGCAGGCAGGCAGGCAGGCAGGCAGGCAGGCAGGCAGCTGCAGCTCTTAGAGAAGAGATCAACTATCAAAGTTCCTTTTTCAGGTGCCATGTTTCCATGGGAAAGCTCTCTCACTGGAATCGAAACTTCTCCTGGTTGGAAATACGGTAAACATCAAGTTCACATCACTGGGGACATTGCCTATACTGCTAGAATATATTGGTACGCTACCAAGGATATTCAGTGGCTTCGTCACATTGGATTCAAGTTGGTTTACTACACTGCAGAATTCTGGTCCAGTAGAGTGTATTACGACAAGAAGAAAGATCAATATCAAATCAACTACGTAATGCCACCGGACGAATACCAGTTTCCTGTTGACAACTCTTTCTACACTAACGTCGTGGCAAAACAGAATCTTGAGTTTGCCCTCGAGGTAATAGGGTATTTACCCTTGGGGCCCGTATTTTTGTCTGCGTGATGTAAGATCACGAAGATCGCGCGAGATCGCGCGACATCACGCTTGTGTCGTGAAGCTGCAATGCCACAGAGGTGGTAAGTCAGATATGGGTCATAGATAATAGACACTTTTCCAATGATATTTTCGTAATGGTTAGTAGTACAGGTAGTAAGACAGTGATAGAGTAGTAGAGAGAGAAATACACGGACGAATCTAGGAAATTTAGAAAGAAAAAATCTCGAAATTGTTGAATTCAGGATCCCTGATTCTATATTCCAGATTTCATGGGCTATAGCCGATATCCCTAGAATTCCACAAACCGGTTTTAGGGACGGATCCAGGATTTTTCTGGGGGAGGGAGTGGGGGCGTGTGCACCATCCAGGATTTTCAAGCGTTTTATTAGTGGGTGCACCCTTTGCTTACAAACTCAACACCACTGATAATGCAATAAATATCAGTTCATCGTTGGATCGCGTTATAGAAAGCTTTGACAGCCTATACAACGTGTCATAACTACTGAAACGTAGTTAAGTGAACGTGAGTGAACTTCAGGAAAAAGCCGCTCGCCTCTAGCTGTAGTTGGAAAGTCAGGCCAATACAACATGTTATAAATAATGAAACTTAGTTAAGTGAGCGTGGAGTGAACATCAGGCAAAAACCGCTCGCCTCTATCTGTAGTTGGAAAGCAAGGCCAATACAACAATGTGTTATGAATATTGAAACGTAGTTACGTGAACGTGGAGTTAACTTCAGGCAAAAGTCTCGCCTCTAGCTATAGTCGGAGAGTCCGGGTTGTGGGATAGCAAAAGTATACAACAAAGCATTAACATACCCCCTTCTTATTCTTCCAAAGTGCGGTAGAATCTTGAACAGGTACGTTCCCCCATACTGGGCCAAAGTGGCGGCCAAAATGTACATCCCATTTGACGAAGATCTGCAGTATCATCCCGAGTTCGACGACTTCCATGATGGCCTTAAAACAAAACAAGCAGATGCTATTCTTGTTGGTTATCCGCTCATGTACAACATGACCAGAGAGGTATTAGTAATCTATGGTCTTGTGGGACTTTTTGGACATTGCCGGGTTTTAAATGAAAGGAATAAATGGACTGGGAGACAGAAAAAACTGTTAAAAAAGCTGGATAAAATGAAAATTATATGTAGTTGTATAAGACCATTGAGCTCGACTAAACCGTGCCCAATTTTGACCAAAAGGACAGGAAAATGGAGATATTAGAGACTTTTAACACGTTCTTGCTAGATACCGCAACCATCATATTGCAGTTCGACGTCAGGCGTTTTCCGTCAAACTTTTGACATTTTGTAAGACGTCATGCTGAAGTTGTTGCTGGAAGAGCCGCCATTTTGAATTTCATTGATAATAAGTATTCTTCCGCGTTTGCGGACATGTTTCTGGGCTTGATCCCTAGGTAGCAGTTAGCAGTAAACCCGATGCTAAAGGTCTCTATTCATGGCACCGTTTTCACGATTGTCCGGTTTCGACCCAGTCCTCACATACGAAACTCGGTCAAGCATGTGGCTCATATTAAGTTCCTGTATTTTTGGCGGGAACTTTCCTACCGCAACTGATCCTATTACTAGTATTATTACTGTTGTTTCACAGGTTCGTTATAATGACCTTGACATATACGAAAACATTACTGATGCCCGTGGACCAGCCATGACACATGCAATGACGGCCATTGGCTGGTTGGAAGTTGGCGAAAAGAAACGTGCCAACAGAGCTTTCTTGAAGAATTTTAAGAATATCAATGGCCCTTTCAAGGTAAGTTTAACAACTTTCCAATTTTATTGATACGGACGACAAGTCTAGCAGCAGTAATTCACAGATAGAATCCTGAAATAATCCTGAGCCGATCGAAGACAGGGTATGCGGCTATTCACAGATAGAACCCTGAACAAACCTTGAACCGATCAAAGTCAGGGAATGGCTAATTCAAAGATAGAACCCTGAAACAACCTTGAACCGATCAAAGTCAGGGTATGGCTAATTTACAGATAGAACCCTGAAACAACCTCTGGGCTGATCTAAGTCAGGGTACGGCTAATTCACAGATTGAACCCTGAAACAACCTCTGGGCTGATCTAAGTCAGGGTACGGCTAATTCACAGATAGAATCCTGAAACAACCCTGAGCTGATCAAAGTCAGGGTATGGCTAATTCACAGATAGAACCCTGAAACAACCCTGAGCTGATCAAAGTTAGGGCATGGCTAACTCACACATTGAACTGAAATTTAGTTTGTGTTCTGTAAACGGACAGAGGAAAACCTAGGTAACTAACTCTATACTCACATGTGATGCAGAGTCAGGGAATTGAAACTCAGACTATAGTGTGACTCGCAAACTAAGATTGTGGGTATGCAACAAATATTCATGACATGACATTAATTCCATGCCATGACTGTGCCATGGGTACTAAGAGATTTAGCAGTCAGGCACTATTTATAATATACACAAGTTATCACATGGGATGCTTTTGTACATGTATGCCATACGATAAAGTATTACTTTTCCTATGTTGTAATGTTTTCCTATTTTCTCTTTCTATGTCATTCTCTTGGGAATAAGATACTTTGTTTGAGTTGTATCCAAATTCATATTTCTTCAGTCTCACAACAATCAAACAAAGAAAACATACTTAAGAGAATGGCAAGTGATCAAATGGGAAAACATTATGCCTATGGTAAAGAGGTCTGCTTGAACCTACTGATGCAGAGACTTTTACAGGTATGGACGGAGAACATCAATCGGAAGGGAGCTGTTAACTTCATAACAGGTGCAGGTGGCTTCCTACAGGCTGTCCTGTTTGGCTATGGAGGGTTCCGTATTAGAGAAGATCACCTTGAATTCAACCCAACTTTGACTCCTTCCAGTAAGAAGCTATCCATCAAAGGTGTGGACTATCTTGGTAACTCAATGGACTTTGTCATCAAGAGGAAGCGAGTTATGATCACCTTAACTACAAAGAAAGAAATAATAGCACCCAAATTAGAAGTAGTCTTATATAATAAGGTTGAGGAGCTGCAATACAACAAGACTGTCAGTGTAATGAGAGGAAAAGGAAAAATTAGATTGCGGCAATAGTTTGTTATGTGGACACTCTACACCTCACCGGCTTTTTTGCTCTTCTCTTCACTTACTCAAGAAACCATAAATGAAGAGTTAATTTCTTTTAAATTTGAAAAGTTTACAGTATGGTAAAGCTGTGCTGTGCCTTGCTTTGCTTCTGAATTCTGATTTGATGTGCTGTAAATTGTGTGCTGTAATTATGGCTCAAAATTGTTTGGTAAATCTCCATACGAATGCTTTCCAATCATCTGCCAAAAGTCACATGAAATCTTTTCCAAATAGTACTGTATTGAGTGTGCACAGTATATTAATAAAACTTTTAGATTAATAGATTGGCTGTTAATGAGACAGTATAAGATGTCAATGTACTGTGTATTCAAATAAGATAGAGGCACAAAAGTACTCAAGGCTTACAGTACATTTCTACCCTATATTACTACTAGTAATATTGAACTTTTAAAAAGATTGACCTCTTTTCTTTGGGTGTAATGTTTTCCCATTTCATACCATTTAGGGGTAGGGTTTGGGTTTAGGTTAAGGTTAAGGTTAAGCCACATGGGAAGTGTCAGAACAAATATTTTGATTGATGTAATCTGCTGTCAATTAGTTTTACATGCCAGGGACAGATCCAGGGTATCTTGCAGTGCACCTTACAGCCCACTAATGTCAATGTTGTGTTATTATTATTATTATTCATATATGTGTGTGTAAATAACTACTTTAACGCTTTTTCAAAGGGATGAATATCTCTTTTTAAATGTCTTCATTTGGGAACCCCCCCCCCCCCTAATGAATTCCTGGGTCCACCCTGCATGTGCCATCATTATGACATTCATGACCTTGGAATACTAGTTCCCAGTTAATGTTTAGAAGTAGAAGTATTCAAAATTGAGAAAACTTTATTCAAATAATCTATGACTTGTTAGGGGGGGGGGGGGGGGGGGGAAGAGAAGAATGTGTAGCATGCTATTATTGACCATTATATAGTGGAGGAAAACTTGAACTAAATATCAATCATGACATAAGGAAATAATGGAGGTTATGTATATAAATAAAGATTTCTCATACTAGTGTGTGTGTTATGACTTATTTCTGACTTATTTTGATTTAAATTATTAACTTCTTGAAACTTGAAATTTTATCTTTACCTGAAACAACCTCTATGCTGATCAGGGTATGGGTAACTCACAGGTCAAACCCTAAAAGAAGCTCTGGGCTGATCTATTAAGTCAGGGCATGGCTACCTCTCAGATTGAACCCTGAAACAACCTCTTGGCACCTGATGAAAGTCAGGGCATGGCTAACTCAGATTGTACCCTGAAACAACCTCTAGGCTGATCAAAATAACGGCATTTCTAACTCGCAGATCAAACCATTAAACAACTTGTAGGATAACCTTGAGCTGATCAAAGTCAGGGTATGACTAATTCACAGATAGAACCCTGTAACAACCTTGAACCGATAAAAGTCAAAGCACATGCAGCTTACTCACAGGTTGAATTGGGAATTATTGTGTTAAGTTTTGCAGAGCAAAGAAAACTGGAAAACCCAGAAGTCCCATAAATGAACCCTAGAACTGCTTCTTGAAAGCATTAAACTTCTGTCGTATAAATTTTTACTAACCTCAGCTTTTATGTGCAGTGCAGTGCTTCGTGGCTAAATGCCATATAATCTCCCTTGAAGGACGCTGGTTGTCGTGTGTGTAGACCATGTAGTCGCTTCTTTGGTATTGCGCCAGCCATTCACTGCCGTCCGTGGCCGTAATGTAACGTCAATAGCGATCCCTATCCATATCGGACCGCAAGAGTGAATTGGTTTTGACGAACTGGGCAAAGAATAGTGTAAGGACTTATTAAAACTACTGGACGAATGGTTAGAAAATTAAATCCCAGGTATGGCATCCCTGTGGTGCGGTGGCTATAAGGTCACGCAAGATCACAGTCTCGTGCGTTTTTTAGTGTATTACAAAATTTGCGCTAGAAAGTAAGCTCGCTATTTGTTCGTCTTTATCTTGAGTTTTGCACATATGGAATCTACAATCTATATTTTTTTGAAAAACATGGCTTCCAAATATGCTTTAAAGTGAAGCCAATATATATATATATACGGTGGAAGATTATATCACGGGCGGAAAAGGACCCCCTTAAAATACAGTAAATGTATGTAATTTGGTCTGTGAGGGGGCTGTGAAATGCACTCTACGCCCGCGATGTAGTCTTTTCCTCAAAACGCGGCATTTAATCACAAACCAAGCCTGTTATTCTTTATCCTTCCAGTTGGCTGTATCATGAAGCAATTCTTCACGAAACCGAGGCTGATAAGGATGAATTTCTAACCGCTACAGTACAAAAAAGGCAGGTTTTTAGAAGACGTTTGAAGACATTTTATCTCGATAAGGTTAAAAGGGATACTCCTAAATCAGGTTAAGGGATACTCCTA